AATTTTCTGGTATTTAATAAACCAAATAATTTATTAATCAACTAAAGTATGGATCGATGAATGTAACCACAGGCTGATGAGAGAAGTGCTTTGATGTTTTTCCCATATCAAAGATCTGGATACATTTGATAGTAATTAAGATCTAACAACGAACCACAAACACCAGTTCTGAAAAAGTTGGGACACTGCAGGAAACGTAAATAAGAACCAAATGGATCTCTTATAAAATAGTATTTCATCTCAAATGTTTAAACGGAGACATTTCAGTGTTTCACTTTTAAACTCAGGTATTCAGAACATCTGAGTGTTCAGAGTTGATGTTAGAGTCAGAGTAGGCTTCAGCTACAAACATCGGCGTGTGTTTTACCCATAGCCAGTGCTGGCAGGACTTTGAGCAGAAGAGAGTAGAGAGGACAGTCTTTGGAGGTCACCACTGCCACCACACCTGGAAGATAAATAAGAAGCAAAATTAGGAAACAACACAATAAAAAGACTGAGAGCATCTTTGTAACGACAGCTGAATTCACCCAGAGGTGTCCAGTCAGTGAGGAGTGTGTCTCTGAGCTGCGCCCAGCTGCTGTAGAACTGCAGCAGCCTGAGCAGGGCGGCGGTGGAGCAGGAGGCCTCACACAGCTCACACAGCTCTGAGAGACACTGGCCGTGCTGCCCGAGGACGCTCACCAACCTGTTAGAGGACAGAAATTCATCTTTGTGTTAAACTGGTGGCTCAAAAACAAAGCAGGAGGTGTGTGAAGGTGTGTTTGTTGGACCTGAGGAGCACTTTGGCCCTTTGGTTGCAGCTCAGGCTGCTCCAGGACTTGAAACCGTTAACAGCAGAGGAGGCACACTGGGAAATATCAGCTTCTTCAGCACATGCTGTGCTGCATACAATACTTCCTGGAGAGCAGGCAGGCAAAACACTGTGACCATCATTATCAGTGGGATGTTTGTAAAAAGTCTGAAACACTGACTGGTAATGAAAACGTTTGAACTTCTGTGTAACTGCGTGCTTGGCTGCTCTCACCTTTAGAATCAGCCGAGGAGCAGCTCCGTCCGTCTGCTGAACACACAAATTTACCGTCAATGAAGAGACCCAGAGAACGGGAATGATGCTCCAGCCAGGCCTGAAGAAGAAAGGGAACAGGGAAGGATCACTCACTCACACAGATTCAGTTTTGTTAAAAGGTTACTGCAGATTTGTGAAAATCCTTGAATTAAAGTAAAAAAATCTTGCTCCCCTTTTATCAAACCGTGCCTGTATGAGCACAGAGGAGGATG